ACATCCAGAGATAGTTTTTTCTCGTAAAAAATCAATATCTGGTCATCAGGCAGTCTTTGTCTGTTCTTGACAGTCAAACGAGAGGAAGGGGATAAGAATAAAACATCTAAGCTTTGTTTTTTTATGATCAGGTCAATTGTTTGACAATCGATTTGTAATGTCTGTTCTGCCATTATTGCATATTTACTGTATTTGGCATAAATACAAATCAAAGCAAAACAAAAAGCATGCCAATGCGATGGATATACGCATTTCATGCCGCATAATCTATCACTATCAACATTTTTGCAAAATGAGAGGTCTTTTTGCTTTTCTCTAGCCCCCCCTCAAGGTGCGACCCTTTATATTGGATGTCCCTTACGGCATTTTGCAAAAAAAACATGCGTCTCACATTACAACGAACAAAGCGGGAGAAAAAAATCAACCACATCCATTTTCACATCAATAATAGTAGAATAATTTCTCAAGTGTCATATTTAACAAAGGAAGAGGGGAAAGAAGTTTGTGGCTTAAGCTCGAATCTTCCTTGACGTGCCACTTCAGGCTGTCAACCAGGTACTTCAAGGACTTAAGCAAAATTGCCTCTGTTGGCGATAAAAAACTTCAAACCTGCCACTTATCAAAGGTAGCAGCCTGCCAAATTATGGGGCTGTTATATGTGCCTGACTGGATGTTGAATGGACCTAACTTTACACTGTCAATGGAAATAGATGTAACTTGAGGTTGTGGTAACGTNGAGATGCACTAATTTTCAACCCCGCTGAAAATCATCACTATCACATCGCGTACTAGGCAAGAGCGGTGTTGCGACTGATACATTGAAGCGTGTACTGACGCACACCTTAAAAAGGGTAGTGTGGTCCGATCTACCGGTGAATTCGGGATCAGTCGGTGCCTAGTCTGGTACTCAGTAGTTGGGTAGGCCTGAGGTTGGGGGCAGTGGGCTCTCTCTCTCTCTCTCTCTCTCTCGTCTATGCATCAACAGAACCAACTCATACCAGAAATATGGCTTAAATATCAGACACTCCTTTGAGTGAGCATTGGGATAAAAATTAACAGCAACAGTCCGACTGATCAGTGTACAGTACTCTAGTGAAGAGAGTACTACACTATGAGATCCTTAGCAATTCTGTAATGCCACAAACATCTCCATGTCATTGTCAAGGAATGTAAGCCACATTTGCAGGAAGTGTAAACTACTTAGCATGGTGATGTTGCTGTCAGTCAATGTCCTGAGAGATTTTTTATATATGTGATACACAAGATTAAATAGCCTGAACTTGAGTTGAAGCTAGATCCAAAGAAGTACACTTAAATAAAGAAGGTACTGGTCTGAAACAGTTGCCATTTCTTTCTTGTTATAAAAAAGTTGTAACATTTCATTCAAGTGGATTAGTCTTTTAATTTATCCAATGAAAAAATATCTGGATTTATCTTGAATCAAGCAGACAACACATTAACTTTAAAATATTGTATAAATCTCTGGTGGAAAGAATTTTTTTCTCCTGCATAGAAGATAAATTGCATGAATCATCATAATCTTGCACATCCAGAGATAGTTTTTTCTCGTAAAAAATCAATATCTGGTCATCAGGCAGTCTTTGTCTGTTCTTGACAGTCAAACGAGAGGAAGGGGATAAGAATAAAACATCTAAGCTTTGTTTTTTTATGATCAGGTCAATTGTTTGACAATCGATTTGTAATGTCTGTTCTGCCATTATTGCATATTTACTGTATTTGGCATAAATACAAATCAAAGCAAAACAAAAAGCATGCCAATGCGATGGATATACGCATTTCATGCCGCATAATCTATCACTATCAACATTTTTGCAAAATGAGAGGTCTTTTTGCTTTTCTCTAGCCCCCCCTCAAGGTGCGACCCTTTATATTGGATGTCCCTTACGGCATTTTGCAAAAAAAACATGCGTCTCACATTACAACGAACAAAGCGGGAGAAAAAAATCAACCACATCCATTTTCACATCAATAATAGTAGAATAATTTCTCAAGTGTCATATTTAACAAAGGAAGAGGGGAAAGAAGTTTGTGGCTTAAGCTCGAATCTTCCTTGACGTGCCACTTCAGGCTGTCAACCAGGTACTTCAAGGACTTAAGCAAAATTGCCTCTGTTGGCGATAAAAAACTTCAAACCTGCCACTTATCAAAGGTAGCAGCCTGCCAAATTATGGGGCTGTTATATGTGCCTGACTGGATGTTGAATGGACCTAACTTTACACTGTCAATGGAAATAGATGTAACTTGAGGTTGTGGTAACGTAATTTAAAATTAACCAATTATGTTTTTTTTTTTTTTTTGTTTAAAAAGATCAAGTATGTTTGAAGTCTTTAAACTAAAATCAACTACTTTGTGTTTAACACTGTATCCAGTCACCCTGACTCTGAAGGATTACTGGAAACTAAGATCTATCTAACACCCCATTCTCATAGATTAGATCGACCTACATTGGATCGACCTAACTCCCTGGGGGTTCACGCTAAATAGCTGTCAGCCGGGCGGACACGAAAGTTAATTACCCCTTAAAGCTTGTAGTAGGCGGGGACGGACACTTAAGGGGGATTATCTGACAGTAATCTAGTGAGACTCCCCGCGGTGATAGATCGATCTAAAAGTTGTGAGAACAGAGCCTTAGCTGGAAACAAGATAGGCACGCAGATAGTAGAAAGTTGAACTTCCACTAACCTTGGAAACTCAGGGTTGTGCTACTCAGTGTGGGATACTTAAGATTGCTTATCAACAGTAATTAATACTTCCTCTCAGACTTTTTAAGGAATTGTTTATCAGCAGTAATTAATCTGTCTCCTTCCACTTTATAAGGAAAGCATTTGTTGGTTCAACCATGTCCATGTTGGATGTGGTAAAATGATTCATCTTTGTATTGCTCTTACCTGTATACAAGTAGTTCTAGTTATTTTCACTTGATTGTCATTGTATTTCAGTTGTTAATTTTCCTATACTGATTTATTACTTATTATATGACATAATTACTTTTCAGATCTGTAAAATTTTATTGGATTCACTTTTTGCAAATATTACAAAATAAATGCATTCCTGAATTGCAGTTTTTCACTGGGTCATACTAGTAGTCACTATAGGAAAAGCCACTTATTAATCTGATTAGTGGAATTTACCCAGCATTAAGTATTTTACTGCACAGTTCTCTTAATGAGGTGTAATATGTCTTGAACCAGGGCCATCATAAACATTCTGCTCTAACAATTGTATTGTAAACACCATTTAAGATGTTGACATTGTGTACAATTCTATTTAATGTGCTGCTGAATAAACATATCATACATTAAGTAAGCAGCACTTCATTTAGTATTATGATGTGACAGAAGCTTTATTGTGGACAAATACTGAGGTGGTGATTAAGTGCAATCAAAGTGCAGTTCAATCCCAAAGTGGCCAAAATGTTTCTGATTTCAGACTTCAGCCTGTTTGTGAGTCCGTGTATGTTAATTGTAATTAAAACATCTATAGAATAATCATACTTTTGCATATAAGTATGCAATGTCAAAGACAGGTCCAAGTTAAAATTTAGTTTAATATCTACAGAATTTATATTTTTATTCTATAATACTTAACATCTGAAAGGCCACTGGCAGAGATAAACAGTTACGGCAGCCGATAAGTCTTTTGTTATCTACAAATGTATGGCATCAGTATTCATAAACAGGTCAAAAGGTATATTGTTTGCCATTGTAATAACAAGCCAGAATTGATTCAGATGGCCTTAAAGCTTTGTTCAGTATATAACCAAACTAACCAAAATCTCTGACAGGTGCTTTAAATAAGAGAAACTGGACCTACAGCAGTTAGCATATGACTGGCATTTAACAGCCAAATACTGCTATTAAGAAACACATGTACCAAGTTCAGTTAATACTAAAGTTCTGTAAGTATTAACAGGTCTATCAGCTCTCTAATCTAATACAATAGTATCTTCCATATGATACTGAGATACCAGGTGCATGTAAGAAGAAAATCGTGTCTGTGTTAGCTTGTGTGCATGTATTCTTATGCTCGAATGTGTGTGTGTGTGTGTGTGTGTGAGAGAGAGAGAGAGAGAGAGAGAGGGAGGGCCGGCGCACTAATTAACGACCAGTCTAAATTATTGGGTACATTGTATCAGTTCAATATATCACAGATTATCCAATACCACAAACTACTAATGGATCTCTGATATCATGAAGGCTAACTTCGCAATGTAATTGAGAATTACTGGCAAGACAAAATAGACACTAAACAGCGAACCCAGAAAACTGCTGAACATATACGAAAAATATAGCTGTCCCTTACCTTCCCCTGTCAGGATACCAAGACCTATATTACTCAGTTTTTGACTCCAGTGACTGGGATTACCTCACCAGAAAGTCATATTCCACCTCCAGAAGTTACGCAGTGTCAGCACCGACTGAACTGTGGCATGCGGAAAAGCAGCACTACCCGTCCTTCCCTTACGCCTTAATCTAACCGTCGTGTCAACCGATCTCTTCAGTCATCACCCATGGCAAAAACAAGCGAAATGCATGGTATAAAATTCAGCAACTTACCCTCTGTAGACTTCTGGATTATTCACAACTTCATGCCTAGCGCTAAAAGCGACAGTCTCAGCGTCTTTTTGATAAATAAATCACTGCATCCGGCAACTACCCGCTGTCAGAAAAACGATGGTCAAAGGGATTAGGCCCTGGAGTCTGGATGACGTTTCCAATGTCAACAAAGCGGAGTTATTCATCCATGTTCTGGCAGAATTGTCCAATCAGATTGCAGAACAGGAAATCTCGTTAAGCGTCCTGTTAAAAATGAGCAGCTATTTCAGGGTAAAATGTGAGTCTGACTTTATGTATGGTATTAACGATTTCTATAATTTAAAATCTGTTATTCTGAGACATTTAAATCTTTCAATCATGTGTAAGTTTGTAAGAATTTCCCTGTGAAATTTCAACTCTCGTGCACCTTGCGAGATTTGAAAAATGGCGACCATCCAAGAGCAGACCGCTGACACGTCTTCGCCGTCCTCTCAACCGAATAATCCTCTATCTAGAAAACTGAATAAAATTCTAGACACAAGGCTTGATAATGATAAGGTAAAGAATGTATATTTTGTGTATTAAAGCTCGTCGTCGTCGTCTTTGCATGCAACTTGCAGCTAACCAAACAGGCAGTCGGCAGGCCGTAAACGATTAGTGTTGAATTTCCAACTTAACTACATGAAGTTGTACCTGCAGCCAGATTGTCAAACCTTCAGATAAAGCGTTAAAATAAAAAAAACGTGCCCATAAAAGCCTTTGATGACAAATGCTAGGATCACTTAGATGAGAACAAAGAAAGTACAGCAAAATTCCTTTTTATTCTTAATTTATAAATGCTAAATTGCCCCTACCATGATCACGAACCCAGGTACATTTGACTTTTGTCCACACTGTGCTGTCAGAAAAGACAGAAACCCCTGTACCCTGCCGACAACATCAGGCATAACATGTGCTCACATGTTTCAAATGCCATGCTATTTCATCCAGCTTCTAACCATGGAATCGTTATGCAGGGGCATTTATTTACCAATAATCCAATCCTCATTCTGTGCTGGAGCTGTTCTGTTACTTTGAAAGAAATGGTTTATGTCAATGTGAAAGTAAAATAAAGGGAAAAATTAATACATGTGGTACTTATGATAGCCATTATAACAATAGTAAAAGCCTTGGCTTATTTCAAAGAAATCAGAAGTAAATATTTTCAATTGTCAGTGCACACTTTGCTTGTACTTTCAGGAAATGCTGGAAGCCCTCAAAGCTCTGTCTAGTTTCTTCAGTGAAAACACCTTGAGGAACAGAAGAAACCTGAGAGGAGATGTTGAGAGGAGGAGTTTGGCCATCAATGAGGATTTCATTCAGGCTTTCCAGCAAGTTAAAGAGGTCTCTCTCTCTCTCTCTCTCTCTCTCTCTCTCTCTCTCTCTCTCTCTCTCTCTCTCATTTATATTATATATAGATAAATAATTTACATCTTAAAATGCCATTTGTCGCTTAACATTTTAATGAAATACATCTTACTTCGTGTTAATTTTGTTTTAGTTTAATATTATTCACATTTCAGCAACTTGACTCTGTCTATGAAGATGTGAAAGGAATGAGTGAGTGCTGTCAGGACATGACCACTAGATTAAAGGTAAACTTCCTATTCTTTTTCGTTCCTATGTAATGATGGTTTATAGACAAAGTCAAATTTAATATAATCACTTTAGTAGAACTTGTGAAAGTGGGATGCTTTTTTACTGCTTTGGTTGGTTCACTGTTTTGTTTGTTTAGTCCTTTATCTGTTTGTATGTTTGTTTATTAGGATATTAATTAAAAATTACAATTTTGAATTAAATGTTAAATATTTGTTTATAATTGTCTTTCCTGCAGTTATTATTTTTACTATTGTTAATGTTGTTGTTTTTATATGCTGAGTCTTTGACAATCATTATTTTGCAATACTTTTGACATATCTGCAGCATGTAAAATGCAGATTCACATCAAGAATGTCTCTCTTTCCAGGCAGCAAAGGAGCAGACCCATGATTTGATCAACCAGACAACTCAGTTGCAAACAGAAAGGTAAATGTGAATGGTACACACTTCCTGGTGTTATATCTGCTTGTCATATTCTCAGAATGCTATTACACTTGCAGGACCGGAAATAAATCTTAGACTGTAATACATAATGTAAGCACACCTTCTGCTTTTCAAAACAAAATTCTCCAGAATAAATTTAACTCTTCTCTTTTTTTTGTGTGTGTGTAACCAGCCAGAGGCTACAGATGAGAGCACAGGTGGCAGATGCTTTTCTGGCCAAATTTCAGCTGAAACCAGAAGAGGTGAAAATTCTTAGAGGAACACGGGATGGTGCCCTGCATCCAGTAAGTGTGTCTGCAATTGTAGGTATATATGATGTAGAGATATAACTGAGAGTTGCAAATGCCTGGATATGATGTATTTATTCAGCCTTGAATAAATCTCATCATGCTTGGAATTTTCATATATAATTATAAGTGATACCTAGAGTTGATTTTGATTTTGTATTATTTTTATATATTTAGTAAATAAATAAATTTATTTATTTCTAAATTTGTGATATTCCAGGACTTCTTCAAAGCTTTGGCCCGTGTAAAACAGATCCACACAGACTGCAAGGTGTTGCTCAGAACAAATCAACAGACAGCAGGGTGAGTGGCCGAACATTGCCTAGCGTAAATAACAAGTGTTTAGAGAAAAAGAGATTAAAATGGAGTGGCAGTATGGAAAACACGACATTATATAAACAGCAACCGTTTCCAGACTCATACTTCACTAAGTCTTACTACTGAATCAAAATCAAATTAAGGGAAATATTAAATAAAAAGAAGGCTTGGGAATATATATCTAATCAATTATCGTATGAGTGAATTAATTGAGGAATTGCTGTGTGATTTTGTTGTAGGTTGGAGATAATGGAATCAATGGCACTACATCAGGAGTCAGCATACGAGAGACTGTACAGGTGGACTCAGAGTAAGTACACGCCTGGAGGCAGACATTTCAGGGGGCGGGGGAATGTTCTTCTGAAAAATGGTACCTTCTGACCCTTTTAGTTGATCCAAATTTAGAAATGGCCACAAATTTGATTTAAATTACTGTCTACAGGCCTGTGCAATAATGTAGAATCTGCAATTTTCTTACAATCTCAAACTTTGAGTAAGGCAGTTATTAGAGGGTCTTTGTAATTAGATTTGAAATCTGTTTAAAGAGGATTTTTAGTTGGCATCTCACCAATCTGTCTTTCAGGCCTATTAATCCTGCCCAGATTTGAATCTCCACCATGAAACTAGTAGAAAATATTGCCATTTCTTCTCTCCAGATGAATGCAGGGCTCTGAGCAATGAGTCTCCAGATATCAGTTCTCAGCTCTGTTTGGGTTTAGAGGCATTACAGGACAGACCAGTGCTCTTCAGGTAGTTATGTAGTGTATTTTGATTATTATAATTATTATTATTGTTATTATTGAAATATATTGAAATCAGCTTGTGATATAAGCCTCCTACTTGTACTGAGATCAGTTTACTACTGGACTATTTAGTCTTGTAAAAATATACATTTCAAACTCAGTAATCTGATAAAATGTCAGAGGTTGTTTTTGATTATTTTGTTCACTGAAGTATAGATTATCAGTAATGCATATTCGTGTGTGTTGTAGGTATTCTCTGGATGAGTTTGGTACAGCCAGAAGGACAGCCATTGTGCGAGGGTTCATTGATGCTTTAACAAGAGGAGGTAAATCCTGGCTCAACTGAATGTTTCACTTGTTCAAATAGTCCAACTAGTTTAGTAATGAATTGCCTAAACCCTGTTAAGGGCATTTCAAATGAAACACTGTAACAGTTTCATTTTTAGATAATGTGAAATGAATATCCCACTCATTTGACCTACATGATTATTCATTTATAGAATGATTCAATGAATAACCATTCTTGAATTCACAGAATGTTTTAAATAATATTTATTCAGGAAAATAAAGGTATCTTCAAACATTTTTCCTGAGATACTCTGCTCGTGCAAATGGCATCATTTCTTTTCTTTAAGGTCCAGGAGGAACACCAAGACCAATTGAATTACATTCACATGATCCTTTGCGGTACGTGGGTGACATGTTGGCATGGTTACACCAGGCGACAGCATCAGAAAAAGAACATCTACAGACTCTACTGAAGAAGTGCAATAATTGTTGTAAGTATAGACTGTAGGTAGGGCTACATTGAAAGATGGGCCTTAGGTACATCACATTGTTTTGATTATAATTAGCTTGTTCTGTATTTACCCACTGAATTATTTTGTACTAACATTTTTACATTGAATTCATAGATATTTTTATAATATTGTTGTGACTCAGGGAAGATCCTTTACGGCCCAATGTACAGGAAAAAGACTGGTATATATAGTGGTCTGTATGGATATGAACTGATAGAGGAGGCTGTCATGAAAGCTGATGAAGGTCAGGGGATGGGGACATTAGGTGTAATTGTTGTCAGGGAAACAATATGGTTTTACAATATCAGATGACTGGACCAATCAGACTTGGTGTATTTGTTGTTGGTGTCAGGGAAACATATCAGAGGGCAGGACCAATCGGTGTATTTGTTTTTGTGAACTTCAAGGGAATGAAATGGTTTTTTATAGATATATGTTGAGGGTCATAGTTTTTGATTATTATTATTTTTTTACCTCTGAGAAAGGAGTGTCATGGCATTTTAATGAGTGGATATTATGAAGATTAAAGGCAAACAGAGTTGGTGTTTTATCTGTACTTTCCCTATTACATGGTATCATTGTTATTGACTGTTATTGGTTTTCAGAACCATTGGCTCCACCAAGCACTGGTTTGATTTTTTTTACATTAAAGATGATAATTTTGTGGAATATTTCTGAAGAGGTTAGAATTGTTGTTAATTTTGATTTCACTTGGGCTTATGGGGTTGAAAATACTATATCTCTTCTCTTTCTAGCTTTGGAAAATCTGTGTGTTTTAAATATTTTTAGTTATCTTTATTTATATTTGAAATTGTCTTTCAGCTTAGGAGTGGGAAGGTGGCACAAATTAGAAATGTACTATAAAGAAGATAACATTTAAATAAAATGGCTGCTGGTGCCCATGCTCTTTGTCAACATATGGTAAAACAACCTGTAAAAACAGTGAATAGGCAAAAGCTTTTCAAGTTGCTTTGCAAGGGCACTGTCCAGAGCAGAAACACATTACAGTATTGGCTAATTTGTAAATGCTTCATCTTCGCCCTGTTTTCAAGGTGATATTTGATTTGTATTTCAGCTAATGAGGGGACAATTCAAGACATTTTAGGGCATATTACCGAGGGTGTTTGCAGACCCTTTAAGGTTAGTTTTCTTAAAAGTGGTCTGAATAAAATTATTTACATATGTACATATGTACATATATATACATATATACATACATATATGTATATGTACATATGTACTTGCATGTAAAATCAGATGCTAATTACTGGTGTTACAGAACATTTTGATGTCTTCACCCTTGATAAAAGGTCACTGAGAGCTTAAAGGGATAATAACTCTTTGTTTTTGCCAAAAAATGAATTTTCCTGGAGTAAACAATAATTTTCCCATTCTTACCAATGGTTAATGAATCCATTTTTACATTCAAAGTTAGTCCCTGGTTTTTTTCTGAAAAGTTTGGTTTTTTGTTAAAATCTCTTAAGAGATTATAAGAGAGTATAGCCATCAATGTAGGTCACGTGGTCTTATGACAAGCTTAGATATCAGAATAATAGCTAACTGCTGTTTTTGTCGTAGCACAGAATATATTACATTTCTATGAGTTATTCACAATGTTTTTATTGTGAAATATAGACCTCATACGAAGAGTTATTATCCCTTTAAGATTAAGCATGTTTTTATAACTATGAAGATTGAAGTTTTGACCCTTCATCAAGGGAGCCTTAATTAGGTGACTGACTTGAAAATGTGAGCTGTAAGAGTGATGATGTCATTGGTGATGTGGGCTTCTTACAAAGTGCTTTATTTGGTTAGCATTGCTACACAAGAGCCAATGGTAAAGGTATTTACCCATATCTGCCTGTCTGTTCTTCCAGGTGAGAGTGGAGCAGGTAGTGGTGGCAGAGCCAGGGCCTGTCCTGTTGTATAAACTCACCAATCTACTCAAGTTCTATGAACACACGATAGGGTGAGTTATATGGTCTCATTTTTTCAAATTTTTAATTTTCAGTTTTTCTCAGACGATCAAATCAGTGATGAATGTGGAAAAAAAACAATAGCTAGCAAAAAAATTTAAAAAAAAGAGAAGAAAAGGAAAAATTTGAAATAAACAATAATAGTTGATGGCATACTAAGTAATACACGGAAATGTAAATAGGAGAAAAAAAAGGCTCATATTGACAAGGGATCAATTGGTTGATATTCATGTACGTAAAATGTTTTCCATCCAGTCAGCTGCTGTCTAAAGACGCCTCTCTCCTGGGCACCCTGGACGAAGCTCATGTCTTGAGCTCTAAGATGTTCTTTAACAGTCTGAACATACATGCAGCAAGGCTGCTGGATAAGGTTTGGTAGTTCATCATATAAAAATCATTCTTATAAATGTTGATGTATGATTAAGCACTTTCTGTATTTGGGTCAAGATTAATTTTTATATTACTAGGACAAAAAAATGTCTTACAGAATAAAAAGATAAATTTGACAACAGAAAAGAAAATAATAAGGAACCTAACAACCACAAAGTTTACACCTCTAAGATATTTTTTCCCACCAACAGGTTGAGCTTCCTCCTGCTGAGCTGGGACCCACTGGACCTCTGAACCAAACGCTACAGCTGCTGAAAGATGTGTTGTCTTCCCATGATTCCTCAGTGGTGTCAATAGATGACAGGCAGAAGGATTTCTCTAAGGTATAATTTTTATGTACAGACACAGATGTGTCTGTACATATTGCCATCACCTGCGTCTGTCGTCGCCGTCGCCGATCATGTCGCTGTCGCTGTCGCCGTCGCCGTGCACNGACTTACTTTTTCTGGTAACTTTTCACAAAGGTCCAATTATTCACGTACTTAATTGATGTTCGACGGTAGATGGTTTGTAAGGTATGAGCTCTTGTACCTTTTTACTTAATTTTACAACTGCTTCCTACTGTGACTTTGGATGGAAGCTGCCATGAAGGCAAATTAAAAGTGACAAAAAAATCTGTTACACAGCAGTTTAGTTTCATGTGCATCAACAACAAAAAAGAAGACTACTCAGTCATCCACATGGTGAGCTACTTGTTTTCAAGAACACTTGCCCAGATATATAGATTTTGGGATTAGACAGGGCTGGGTATTATGGAAAGGTACCCTGATCCCCTTGAAGGAGCTGACCACAGTGATTTGTCTTCCAGATCATGTCCAGTGTGATTGACCCCTTGATCCAGATGTGCTCCCTCTCGGCCAGTAAACTGACCACGGTGGACATGGCCACCTACATGATTAATTGTCTGTACACCATGCAGAGTGCCCTGGCCCTGTTTGAGTACACTGACCAGAGACTGGAGATGTTACAGGCACAGGTAAGTCAGTTTCTCCCTCTCCCTCCCTCCCTCCCTCCCTCCCCCATGTATACACAGGATTAATAGAATTGTTTGTCATACCTTTAAATCACATAAATTATATCAAAAAGTATATGTCACACTGTAATGCGATCACTAACAAAGAGTATATTTGATTGGTATTTTATTTTGGCAAAATTTTATGGTGGGATACAAATTATAAACAAGGCCGCTGAAGGGCGTTTTAAATTATATGATATGCTAGTTTGTGATAACATGAAATTTTACTCATTCAATTTTAGATTGATGCCCATATAGACACACTGATCAGTGAACAGGCATCTCACATCCTGCACAGAGTTGGACTGGCAAGCACATATGGTATAGTACAGCAACATCAGCCAAAACAGGTGGGTTCTGATTCTCTCACACTCTTTGTGTGTGTGTGTATGTTTGTGTGTATGTATGTGTGTGTGTATGTGTGTGTGTGTGTGTGTGCATGTGCCTGTATAAAGTATAAAGTTTTAGATTTCCTCTTGATGCTCTGTGGAATTGTATCTATCTATCTATCTATCTATCTATCTATGTATTTTTCCCCTTATATTTTAGGGTCCATTGTCATCTATCCCTGGAATGGAGCCAGGGACACTTAAGGGAGCTATAGTAAGTGCTGATATTATACATTTGATGATGATGTAGAAGAATGGATAAATTGTTGGGTTTTAGTAAGTTCTTGTTTAGTGATATTATATATTTGATGAAGATGATGTATATGATGATGATGATCTTTTTCCTTAAAAAATAAGTTCTTGAAAAAAAAAAAACATTTATTATTGAGTATGTATATAGTTGTTAATTAACTTAACATTGAAGTATTTAGTTGATTAAGTAATTAAACAATTGCACTTCTTATGATTTTCTTTCCAGGCCAAGTTTGACAGTTTCTTGTCCACTCCTGATGGTTACATATTACAACAGTGTAGCTTACTTCAGAGTACCACTGTAAGGTAAAGTCCACCTGGTAAAAGAGATGGGGGTCCACTTCTTGTGGATAAATTCCTCCTTTTTGTGTGTAAAAAGAGATTTAAGAAAGTTCCTGAATTTTGTATGAAATCATAGGGAGAGTTTCTGGTAAAGAAATGAGTGTTTTCTTTCTTTCCTCAATAAGACAGTTTACTACTGATAAAAAATTAATTAAAAAATTAGAGTAATAATCTAGAAATGCTCTATGGTAAACTAATCACATTTCATCTGCAGTTTAAAATAAAATATATCTAAATTTTCAGAGAAACAACAAGGAAACGTTCTATGGAGCTGATTGTGTCAGCGTATGAGGAGCTGTACACTGCTATCACCGCCCCTCAGAATGGGTACAAAGACCCTCAAAATCTCATGCCTCGGACTCCTGAACAAGTAAAACATTTGCTGATATAGAGAACTCTGTTATGTGTTTGGTTCAGACATATTGATGATTTATTTTTTCATATTTATTGAATGTTTTTTTCCTTTGGTTGGGGTGGGGGGAGGGTACAATTGATGGAATAGATGTTGATTCAATTTCTGGTTTAAGATCCACAGTTTCAGACAAGAAGGACTACCAGATTACATTGTTTTTTGTCCCAAGTGGTGCATTTTATGTCAAAATGTGTACAAGGAAGAGGAACCAAGGATTGCATGTCTAATTTCTTAATAGGTCTGATGAGGACCAATGCCTAAAAACTCAGAAGATCTAAAGGACCTCAGAAACTGGGACTTGGGTTGTAATACCTTTAATTTGTATTTATAATTCTTTAATGGAATTTTCATTTCATTATGCAGTTAAAAAATTTAATGAAAATTGTTTATAAATGGGGAGGTTTATGGTAGGGATTTTTAAAAATAATAAAAAGTGCTATATTTTTCTTAGATATTTTCTAGTTTTTATCTGTAAAAGTGGCTGTTTAAAACCTTTACAGGCCAGATGACACATGCTAAGATGCATGAACTTTGATTTGAAATTTTTAACAGCATTTCTCAGTGTTAAGCATTGATTTGATGAAATTTTATTTATTTGGCAAAAGCCAAAAATTTGATATAAAGTAGTTCTAATAGAGAAACTTTGGGGGCTCTTGTCGTATTTTTTTTTGCAAAAAAATTACCCTATTTTCTTTCACAGTGGCTCTCGTCGTTTGACTTACCATTAAATAATTCATCAGTTGGGAGTCCAAAAATTTCTTTAACACTGCTGGTATAGCAACAATGTATGGTTGTACATTTGAATGTATTGTATGTGTTCTCTGCATTTGACCTTTTTAACTCTATACCAAAGACATGCAGTAAATTTGAACAATAGACATGATTTTGAAATTATTTATTAAGAATTTTCATATGCCTTGCCACTGATTATGATTTTATCATTAACAAAACCTAAATATCAGTGTCACTGATATTACTTCGAATTAAATAAAAGGTATTTTCCAGTGATTCTTCAAACAAAACTGCACAAGCCAGTTAAACATATGATAACTTGTACTTAAAAAGTTTTCAAGTTTAATGAAATATACATGATGATTGAAGCATGGACTTGATGATCGGCAATTTATATACAATCATTATGACAACATGAGTAACAGGTTGGAGTTGAATTAAATATTTGCACCAATTTACAAAATTAATTTAATGGTAGAATTTTTATAATTTATTGTTATTTATGTAAAAATTCAGCAGTTTCCCCAGAAAGCTGCCCATACTAGCGTACATTAACAGCAGTAGAGCATCTATCTACAGACCCCTGAAATTATAGCATTTATTTTTACAATAGCACACATGCTTCCAAATAACTTCAGATTTCTTCACAAGCTTATCCATTAGAGAAAAAAGTGATTAGCAGCAGTTCAAACTTTTCCTTAAAAATGCTAAATGCTATAAGCTAAAAATGGTTACATGGTTTATTTATTTTTTTAAAAATCACACAAGTGTTAAATAGGCTGTTTTTTTTTTATCTTGCCTTTTTGTAACCTTAAATTCCATTCAATCAGTTATTGCACTTTCAGCTGCACTCTAATAAAAATTGTTTTTCAAAACTAAATTTCTGACATTAGAAATAATGTTAACAAGGAATTATTGTTTTCACTTTGGAAACACTTGGAAAAATATGCAAAATGACAACTCGTTGTTAATATTTATGCCCTTACTCTATATGTGTGACTTGCAGTAACTGATTTTTAAATTCTGTACAATGCTATATTTATTTCTTATAAAATATTATTATTATGACTCTTTTATTTTTATAAATATATAAATCTTAATATAAATCCTTACTGATCACATTACCATCAAAGTCATATAAGATCATTTTGTATTGTGCCACAGTTATTTGGAAGAACTCAAAAAATTACGAAATTGGCCACAGAATCACGACATGGTGGCCATTGGTGATATAAGGCCGTAATGATTTCACTCAAGAAACATTACATTAAATCATGAGCTGGGATATAAATACCAGTACAACCTTCAAAACTACTCTATAGCAACTGAAGCAGATTCTTAATTTTAACCTTTTTCACAGTTTTTCTGTCTGGATTTGATATCTTAATAACATACATATTTTGTTTGGACAGAGCCATGACCTTCAAATTAAGAAAGCATTTATATTTACAAATTAAACATGCACATTCCCCTGTCTAGTGGGATTGGTATTGGGAAGAATCCAATTAAGCACCTCTTGGCCATACCAAACACAAGGTGGCCATCAACTGAAGCATAGATGTCACTGCAAAACAAGAATTGCAGCCTTTGCTGTTCTTCTAATTTGACAACTTAAAAACAATTTTTGCACTGATTTTTGATTAGGGCAGTTCTGTCACAATGGCGCCAAAAATTAGAAATATTTCCACTTTGCTTGGGCAAAATTCCTCACTATTTTCCACTGATAAGCCACTGCAACTCTCCTTAAAAGTAAATTGTTATACTCGGTTTCTTGCCATCTGCTGTCTCCTGCATGGCGTTCTTTGGGAGAGAGTCTGTGCTGCTGTCATATGGGGTCACACTGACATCTGGGTCCAATGGGATCTTTACATGAAACAAATAATATCTACAGTTGAAAATGTTGTAAAAACATAAAGCATTTTCTGATGCTTTCAGAAATTATCCACTATTCGCCATAAGTAACACAAAAAGCTATCACATTTAATTATAGCCTAAAGGTACACCTACTCAAGTTGCCAGATTGCAAAAGACCAGTACTGCCCCTTTGTAAAATTTACTCAGCATTCACAAAGTAAAACTTTGTAATTCATAATACAAACCTCTGTTTGTGAATCCATGTGACGTGTCTTTCCCCAGGAGAGCTTTTTCACCTTCTTGGCCTTGTTGGCTTTTTCCTGCTGCACCAGCATCTGTGTGCTTCCCTTATGGATACCATTTGGCAAACTTTCAGGCCCCGAGCTATGGATGCTTCCATTTCCTATGGAATTCTGGGACACTATGGAATTACGGGATGATATATCTCCATTTGGAGTCTTTGGTTTCATTTCACTGTCACTATCGTTATCGCTGTCTGCGTTTTCATTATATGGAGCGACAGCTGTACCAATTTCAATTTCACCCACACCCCGTATTGTGGTATCAACTTCGTCTGTGGATTCTGTGCCATATTGAAAACTGAACGCTGGATTCTCCAAAGCCAGTGGATTTTCCATGGTGGTTGTCATGGCGTCCAGGTCAATATGGAGGTCAGAGTTCACAGACTCTGCAGGAGACAAAGATGGCGCGTAGTTTCTGACTGCTTTTGATGTGTTAATGTGGTTGGATTGTTTCTCTGGATTTAGACTTTTTCTAGATAAAAAATAAATAATGAGTGTCAGTGACATTGTACAGGTATAAAATTTCATCCTTATAGTATAAAATCAAAAAATTTTGTGTAGGCTTTTAGTTTTGTTATCTGTTTTGTTGGTAAATATAATAGTTTAAATATGAAAAATATGAAAGAACTGTTACAGAGAATAAAAGGAAAAAGTTTCTAATGTTAACGTTGTTAAATTTGGCCAAAAGCTATACATGGTGTAAATGGTTTTTCATTTTCTGTTTTGTTATGATGATCAGAAAGTAAATCATTTCTAAAATAATGACCAATTTAAATTTAGCTTTTTAACCAGTAAGGTAACATGTTTTAGTTTTCCTCAATGAATCAGTCATGATATCAAGGACTCCTGATGAAAGTTCGCAACTTACTGCCCCATAGTTATAATATCGTTTTATTTACTTTATGCAGAAATGATTTACTTTCTTTATTAATCTACAGATGGCTTACAAAGATTTCAGTTTTGACTAGTAATGATTAAGCTTTTACTAGCAGCTATATGTTCTAAGCATATCTCTAATGGACGTGTTAATTTCTGGATAATAAAAAAAAAAACACTCCAGGATATTAAGAGGTTTACGGTAGGACAAGCAAAGGTTGATATCTATTCTAGACTAAGAGAGAGAATGAAGCAGTTTGATGACAATTCGTAGGGAGGGGGACAGGTGTCCAAGGGTTCAAAGAAACCACCCTTTTGGCCAAAAAATGGTCTCCATTATGTCAAGAGGTTGGGACAAGCAAAGGTAAAACATTTATTTTAGGCTTTTAGAGAATAAAGCTGCAGTTCGTTAGGGTTCATGCAGCATTGGCTGGATGGCTTACAGGCAGAGAGTTTGGGGTTAAAAGAAAACTGCCCCTTTGGCCAAAAAAAAAAAGGTTCACTCTGAATCAAAGCATGGTCTAGGTTCTCTGCCATTTCTCAAGTTGGGTCAAGTTGGAGAAAGAGGTTCACTTTTTCAGAAAAAGATCTCCCTTTGGATTTGCCTGCTACAGACCTGGATGCTTAGGTTTTTATGGCAAGTTGTATAGCTGTCACTATGGCAGCTACAAAAACAAGCTCAGGGTGCACTCACAATGAATCTATCTTACTAGGTAGTATGCACTTATTCCACAGGGACTCTCACTGAATGAAATCAGATTCACACACCTCCTTTTCCCAGTTTTCCAATTTTTTTCTGTATTCTACTTAATGCCAGAAAAAGGAGTGTTAATCTGTTAACAGGGGCGTAACCAGACCTTTAAAAATTGTACGTACAGATTTTGAAAATTCACAGATACAATTATCAGATACAATGATCTGTGAAAAATACACTGAATTTATGGAGAATAATATCATGGTTGGCTCAAAAAATTGTACGCACAGTGCATCCGTGCGTATGCCTGGTTACGCCCCTGTGTTAAATGTACTGCATTCAGAAAGAGTCCCCATGGAGCTAGTGTGCACTGGCTAGTACGCTAGATGCATTGTGAATACACCCTCAGATTGCCTAGACTATGTCAGGATGGAGGGGGGATGTTGGGGGGGGGGGGGGGGTCAAGCAGTAACTTAAAACACTCACATTCTTTTGAATATTAAACCAACACGAAAAGATTTAAAACATGCAGTGGCTCTGAAAGAAAAAAGGTTAAGGTTTACATCAAGATGTTAGGTTACACAACATGCAGTGTGTTAGGGTAAACTGAAGTTGAATGGTTAATTTTGATGTAGTATAGGGCTGTTGACTACATAGATGTTGACAATTATTGGTTAACAACTACTGTAAGTCATTTGTCTATTTGATTATGTGGAATTACTATATTGATTATTTTTTAAATAAATATGTACCACTTGTGAGGCATGACATGGATGAACATACGTATCTGAACAAGACTAAGATGTAGAAAACGTCTTATCTTAATCACAAACATAATGCTTTAATTAGTATAAATATCATCACATTCAGTTAACCAAACAAAAATTGTATAGTTAAAAAGAAAGAAAAAAAGGAATCTGGCAAGAAGCAACTGTATACCAGCCATAAGCAAAAAATAATACTGATTCTGTTCATGCATGAATATAACATGATTCATGCACAAAATACACAAGACTTTCCTTAGCATGGAGAAAATCATTCTGATAAAAGACATATGATGAACACAATGCTGTGGCAAATGGGTGATAAAATAAAACATCGGACAGCCCCATGTCTATTTATGTATAATTACTGGTATATAAGAATGATATAAAATAAATAAATGTGGTGATGATGATGATGATGATGAAAAGGCAAGTGAATAGATAAAAAAAAGGATGATAACATGCTCATGCTTTGTAAAACTTAGAAGAAATGAAATAAAAAAAAAATTGTTCCTGATGTTTGTCATGCTTCAAGCTGTAGGCATTCCAACACAAATGGCTGGTGACTGGATACATAGATCTAAATCAGTGTGTTAGGTGTGCTCATTCCTATAGCAATTCTTACCAGTTGTTGTGGATAAGATACAGAATTGTGTTGGGATGTGACAACTCCTCCCACCAAATGAGGTATTTGGACCGGTTTGAGGTGTGGTGATTGCGCTTCCCACCAAATGTGGTGGACAAAAAAAAGTATGTGTATTGCTAGATTGTTTGGATGTGACAGTGGTAGGTGTACCGAATGTGGTAGGTGTACCTTTTGATTGTGTTGAAATGTGACAGAGGCTCTTCTTAAATGTGGTAGGTGTACTTTCAGATTGTGTTGGTAAGTATAGGCCTTCTGATTGTGTCCCAATTGCAGTAGGTGTGCTCCCAGATTGTGTTGGAATGTGACGTCAGTTTTTCCTACCTATATACACACTATCTACAGTTGTCTACACAAAAGAAGAGATCATCATAAGTCTATACTACTGATGCCACTGGGGGCATACATAGTAGGTTTATAGAGAGGATCAAACTGGGGAGTTCGCAGCTTGCGGTCCTTGTCTATTCTGTAAGTAAACAGAGAGACACTACACACACAATAGTGATAGATACGGAGTAGCTGTTAAGTAGAGGGAATATGAGACACGTGTCCTGGTTGATTATTATGAGAAACATAGAACATTAATTTTCTACTTGATGACAGGTGGGACATGTTTAAGAAATTTGGGAAATATCACTAAATACTGAAAAAAGAAAGGATAAAAAAACAGAGACAATCTAAACAGGTTATTGATACATACATGGTGAAGGTTCTATATGAGATAGAATCAGAAATCAGTAAGTAGGATGGAATGTTACAATAATTCACCTCAGAAGCTACAAATAGGAAACCTAGCTGGGCAAAGATTATTTGCATTTTTATTTGTCTTTGCCCCAAAAACCATGAGGTGAATTAGAAGATATAGTAGCATTTTCAGAGCCGATTTCTTTAAAAATATCAATCAATCATGGCTGAAAGCTCACCAGACCTTGCCCGCACTGTTGTAAGATTAGAAATCCTCAAATTCTATCTAGGCTACACACTAAAACTAATTCACCAGGATCTACTTACCTTTTCTTTATGTATACCAAAAGCACTATAAGTACAATGAGCAGTATTCCCACCAAGGCACCAAGTATGTAAATCAGGACATAATCGCCCTCTGCCATTCCTTTCACTTCAGCAGGCGCGGGCATTGTGGGTAATGGCGGGAACTGGAGTGTGACCTCTGTTATGGCTTGTCTTGGCGGAATACCATCATCGAAAATTTTGACGGAGAAAGTGTAGGAATTCTGGGTGATGTTTTCCCCATGGGCCAGTATGGTGATCCAACCTCTGGAGTCGATTTGAAATAGTCTGGAAAATATGTATTAAAATTCTATTGAAGGGGATGTCCATGTATGTAAAATTTCTGTTATTATGATATTTCATGTAGCACATCATTGTGTACATCATGTACAAATAAAAAATTGAATTCCACAGTGAGGAGAAAAAATTCAAAGAAACGTAATAAGGAAAGTGATGGAGAAACAGCATTGCCCCCACCCGCTGCAACAAAATTGAATAATAAAAATAATGATTGTTAATAATTATATATTAATAAGGCAAACAAACAAAAAACAATCATGTTGATCCTATCTTAATATTATAGGTTTGCCGACACACACACACACACAGGCCAGCAAAAGTTCACTTACTCCTGATACTTCCCCATCTCAAACACAAAACTAGTCATGGGGTCGGCATCAGATGCATTAAGTTTCCCCAGCACGGCCCCATGTGACCTTGACGTGGCATTGAAGTGGTAGCTGTCTGAGGAAACCTGGGGGTTGTTGTCGTTGACGTTAATCACTGTCACCATTAACAGTGTTGTATCGGTCTGAAATGTAGAGAAAAGTAAACTGATATCGNTCAAGGGTTTATGAAACATTAATTTTTGTAAGTGGCACTGAAGCAAAAAATAATTTCATAACTTAAATCCCATTTAACTTTTGGTAATTGCTCATTCTTTATCAATTCAAAATTTATGTTCAATTCGAATTTTACCAGGGTAAAATCCTTAATCCTAATAAATACTTAATTTCTTTTTTATTTGAATATTATCACAACTTTGTACTTACTTTTGTTCTCCTATTTGAAATCTGTCAGAGCCTTTGCCAGGCCTAAGACTGTATCTGAGATAGGAACCCTGGAATGTGAAAAGTGGGTGTCAACTATTGAAAAAAAACTAACTAAATAAATAAATAAATGACATAATTCTTTATCTAAAATCAGAATAATTGTATCAACTTAATTTTTTTCATCAGATGCATTTCACTTCTGGAATGTTTTTTTTTTTAATTCTTTTTTTAAATCAAATTATATTCAATTAATTTTTTAAAATTTTCAGTAAACAGTGGCCAGTTTATTTCCTTTTCCTATACTTGATTTTATTCTCAAGGGCTTGCTAGAATAACTGACTAGTTTATTATACACAGAAAAACATTACTGAACAATGTTACTGGAGTCATGAAGGTAGACTATAGAAAGAGAAATGAATTGAGTCTATAAGGCAACTCAGTTACTTTGGTTAAAAACTAGTGTGACACATTTGGTTTAGGATCCACTTTTGAAACTGTGATAAGTGTAAACAGTGTGTCAAATGTATGTAAGACATGACATTGTGTTAGGTGTGACAGGGTGCTAGGTACGACATTGCGTTAGGTGTGACAGTGTGGTAAGTATAAGAAAGTTGACACTGATGTGTCTTGGTGTTCAAATTCATGTACAGATCAGTACAAAGATATATATAATTTGAAGATTTAACAATGCAAAGTTCAGCAATACCAGATACATATTAACTAAAAAAAAAACATTACGCAATATTAAACCAAATTAATACACAGAAAAGATGAAAAACCATCACCACCCTCAAAACAGACACAGCAATATATCATTTGTTTATTAAATAAAGAAAGTAAAACGAACAACATCTTAGTAAATGAAAACAAGAAGTCAACTGAAACAAGAAAAACTAAGTACAATTGTTAGTACGACACATGCAGATCATCACTGTGTAGATGTTCATGGAGTCTAGTCTGATGCCCTTAGTGTCAGGGGTCACTGGAAACTCGCCTCTATATCAGGGGCAGATTAAGGCCGTCTTCTGGGTCTTCCCAAAGACCGTCAGATTATCCAAGTTCACATTGATGGGTATATAATTTTTTTTCTGTTGGAAGACGGTCAAAACATGGAGGATGGATCAACAAAGATAATTTGGAAGACTGTCAGAAAATATCTCTGGGTCCGCCCCTGTATATAACTGGGAATGACAGAGGCACATGTATGCTGATGATATAGCAGTGTGCTTCCAGTGACTTCTGAAACATGGGGTAAGACATGACAGCTTAACTTGGCAACATTTTCTCCCAGTAGACCATAAATTCTCAACTGATGAAATCGTCTCTTTGTGGTTTAGACCATTTTGAAAATCACATGGTCAGTGGAAATAATGTGTTGCCAACTTAGCCATCACAACCCGAGTTCTGTGCATCCTGAATTTCAGAGATATCTGGAGACTAACAATCAGCAGTAGCAATTAAGCTTTGATGGAGATATGACACTATTGGACATAAGTTTCCAGAAATCTCTGAAACTCAGGGAAGTAGTCTGTAGAATTGCCTCACAAAGAACAGGTGCCCCTGCATGCTGTGGGACACGGTGAATACTCCATCATTGTTTTTACCCACCTGAGGCTGAGACCCATCCTGGGGAAACAAAATTACCACATGTTGCTATAGAAACACATAGACCTGTCATGTAATATGATTTATGCATGCAATTTTTGCACAGTGTGGTCAAGTTTTGATCTCAATTTACCGGGTGTAATTTTAATTTAAACTTATTACTGACCTTGATATAATGTGTGGATATTCTGTCCCAAGAAGGAAATCAAATTTATCTCATGTCAGTTTTGTCTTTTCTTAGTTTTCTTTAATTTCATCACTATTTTCCAAATTTTGAGAAAAGTGTTACATCTAAATGTTACATCTCAGTTTCTTAATTTCAGATATATCTGGTTCAATTTATAACATATATGACTTCACTTTGTTGCTGACAAATCATACAGCTCAATACATCCATGCAGTTAACATGACAACTATTAAATCATAACAAGCACATTTGTATTTAATTTGATCAGCAGCTCTAGCATTAGTATGCACTAACTTTTGAAAAAAGTCCATGTGTTTTGACAAACTTACCATTTTTCTAATCTAAATATTTTACCAAGGATCATGTAATAAATCAAACAAGCTCTGATTGCCAAACAAGCAAAAGCTGTAGAAGTGATTTTCAACAAATTGTCAGTGAGCAGTATCCACATGTCAGTGAGCAGTATCCACTTGTCAGTGAGCAGTATCCACATGTCAGTGCCGGTATACACAAATCATTGAGACATACCCACATTAAACACAGTTATAAAATTTTCTGTATACACATTAAGTTACAGGCCTCAAAACGAAACCCTGTGTATTTAAATCCCACCCAATAAAGGTACTCACGAAATCCATATCCTTTGCTGACACAGTGAGTACAGAGGTGCCTATGGGCACGTTCTCTACCAGAGTGGCAAAGTAAGTGTCCTTAAGAAACTTGGGAGGGTTGACATTGGAAGCCTGTACTCTGATTTTTACCCCAGCGAGTGCATTTCTGTCAGGGTTGTCTTGCTGTGTGGCCTGGAAGATACGGAGGATGTAATGGGGGATAAAATAGTTTCTGTGAGTATGATAGTGTGTTAGGTTTGGTAGTAGTTTTTTGGATGTGACAGTGTGTTAGGTGTGACAGTATTTTTTTGGATGTGACAGTGTGTTAGGTGTGACAGTAGTTTTTTGGGTGTGGCAGTGTGTTGGATGTGACAGTGTGTTAGGTGTGACAGTAGTTTTTTGGATGTGACAGTGTGTTAGGTGTGACAGTAGTTTTTTGGGTGTGGCAGTGTGTTGGATGTGACAGTGTGTTAGGTGTGACAGTAGTTTTTTGGATGTGACAGTGTGTTAGGTGTGACAGTAGTATTTTGGGTGTGGCAGTGTGTTGGATGTGACAGTGTGTTAGGTGTGACAGTAGTTTTTTGGGTGTGGCAGTGTGTTGGGTGTGACAGTGTGTTAGGTGTGACAGTG